ACTAGGCTAATAGAAGCTAGAACTAACGTAGAAGCAAGAATTAACAAGTGTGCATGTAAAAAACCCTTGTTGGGTTTAGAACTAGCAAGATAGAAGCTAGAACCGGCTGTATACAAGCTAGAACTAGGCTAATAGAAGCTAGAACTAACGTAGAAGCAAGAATTAACAAGTGTGCATGTAAAAAACCCTTGTCGGATTTAGAACTAACAAGATATAAGCTAGAACCGACTGTATACAAGCTAGAACTAGGATAATAGAAGCTAGAACTAACGTAGAAATAAGAATTAACAAGTGTGCATGTAAAAAACCCTTGTTAGGTTTAGAACTAGCAAGATAGAAGTTAGAACCGGCTGTATAGAAGCTAGAACTAGGGCAATAAAAGCTAGAACTAGGGTAGAAGAAAGAATTAACAAGTGTGCATGTAAAAAACCATTGTTGGGTTTAGAACTAGCAAGATGGAAGCTAGAACCGGCTGTATACAAGCTAGAACTAGGGTAATAGAAGCTAGAACTAACATAGAAAAAAGAATTAACAAGTGTGCATGTAAAAAACCCTTGTTGGGTTTAGAACTAGCAAGATAGAAGCTAGAACCGGCTGTATAGAAGCTAGAACTAGGGTAGATGTAAGAATTAACTGGTGTGCATATAAAAAACCCTTGTTAGGTTTAGAACTAGCAAGATAGAAGCTAGAACCGGCTGTATACAAGCTAGAACTAGGGTAATAGAAGCTAGAACTAACGTAGAAGCAAGAATTAACAAGTGTGCATTTAAAAACTCTTGTTGGGTTTAGAACTAGCAAGATAGAAGCTAGAACTGACCGTATACAAGCTAGAATTAGGGTAATAGAAGCTAGAACTAACGTAGAAGTAATAATTAACTGGGGTAATAGAAGCTAGGTTAATTCTTGCTTCTACGTTAGTTCTAGCTTCTACTACCCTAGTTCTAGCTTGTATACGACCAGTTCTAGCTTCTATCTTGCTAGTTCTAAACCCAACAAGGGTTTTTTATATGCACACTTGTTAATTTTTGCTTCTACGTTAGTTTTAGCTTTTATTACCCTAGTTCTAGCTTGTATACAGCCGGTTCTAGCTTCTATCTTGCTAGTTCTAAACCCAATAAGGGTTTTTTACGTGCACACTTGTTAATTCTTACTTCTACGTTAGTTCTAACTTCTATTATCCTAGTTCTAGCTTGTATACAGCTGGTTGTAGCTTCTATCTTGCTAGTTCTAAACCCAACAAGGGTTTTTTATATGCACACTTATTAATTCTTGCTTCTACGTTAGTTCTAGCTTCTATTACCCTAGTTCTAGCTTGTATACAGCCGGTTCAAGCTTCTATCTTGCTAGTTCTAAACCCAATAAGGGTTTTTTACATGCACACTTGTTAATTCTTGCTTCTACGTTAGTTCTAGCTTCTATTACCCTAGTTCTAGTTTGTATACATCCGGTTCTAGCTTCTATCTTGCTAGTTCTAAACCCAACAAGGGTTTTTTACACGCACACTTGTTAATTCTTACTTCTACGTTAGTTCTAGCTTCTATTGCCCTAGTTCTAGCTTCTATACAGCCGGTTCTAGCTTCTATCTTGCTAGTTCTAAACCTAACAAGGGTTTTTTACATGCACACTTTTTAATTCTTTCTTCTACGTTAGTTCTAACTTCTATTACCCTAGTTCTAGCTTGTATACAGCCGGTTCTAGCTTCTATCTTGCTAGTTCTAAACCCAACAAGGGTTTTTTACATGCTCACTTGTTAATTCTTACTTCTACGTTAGTTCTGGCTTCTATTACCCTAGTTCTAGCTTGTATACAGCCGGTTCTAGCTTCTATCTTGCTAGTTCTAAATCCAACAAGGGTTTTTTACGTGCACACTTGTTAATTCTTACTTCTACGTTAGTTCTGGCTTCTATTACCCTAGTTCTAGCTTGTATACAGCCGGTTCTAGCTTCTATCTTACTAGTTCTAAACCCAATAAGGGTTTTTTACATGCACACTTGTTAATTCTTGTTTCTACGTTAGTTTTGGCTTCTATTAACCTAGTTCTAGCTTGTATACAGCCATTTCTAGCCCACATCTATGTTAGTTCTAGCTAGTTCTAGCTATAATTCATCTTAGCTCTAGGCTCTTGGGAACGGAGAGAAGCTCCTCCCACCTTCGACGGAGCCAACCGAGACAACCGACGACCCCAGCAACCTCCTCCCACCTCCGGCAAGCCCGAACAGCGACGAAAATCTCCGAACAACGAAGAACAAACCCGAACGGCGAGAAATTGCACTGCAGAAAACTATAATTTTTTGCCGACTTCGCACGCACTTTCTGTTCTCCTCCAATCTTCGTTTCCGCCGATTTCTTCTTTGGTGAGTAGCCCTACATGTTGCCTATCACCTCCAATTTGTATCACGCTCTAACTCATTCTCTATCTCTCTCGATAACGTCCGAAACATCGCTTGACGGCAACAGCGAGCAGAAAACAGCAGCGCCGTGCCGACTTCGCGCGTGTTTTACGGCCACCTCCGGTCTCCGTTTCAGCAGCGCCGTGCCGACTTCGCGCGTGTTTTACGGCCACCTCCGGTCTCCGTTTTCACTACTGTCTTCATCGGTGTGTAGCTCTTTATATTGTCTATCACACGGTATCTTCCTTTCATTTGGGCTCATTTTCTATCTCTCGTTATATTGCTTCGAATATCGCTCGACGACACCGTGGCAATTTCATTCATAGAGATACATTAATACCTCTTTTCGTTCTTTCTTAATTACAACATTTCTGTTCATTCCCCTTCTACTCTACTTCTCTTTACCTTTCTTTTTTCTTTTTTTCTTTTTTTTTCTTTTCTTATTCTAGCTAATATATTAATGCTCTGTGCGTCTCGGCTTGGTAACTAAAAAAACATCCACAACAGAATCGATCACAATTTGCAAATACAGAAGCTCATAAGGATAAATCCACAGTCATGTGAGAAATGAAAAACGTAGATATGTTGTCAACATGAACCCTTAATTGATCAAAGTCTTCTCAAATAAAAAAAAAAGAAAAAATAATGTCCAAATCTCAACGGGTCACAACAACATCATTATTTACGGTAAATATCAATCTCAAAAACCAACCTACTCGTAGCATCATCTTCTTAAATTCATCAAAGCATAAAACACCATCTCCATTAACATCATACATTCAGATCATCTCCCTGCACTCCTCAACAGTCTTCAATTGCCCGAGCTTTTCGAGTGTTTTCCTCAAGCTCTGCGGCGGCGATCTATGGCGGGGGAGCGGTGGCGATCTACGGTGATGAGGACGGGCGGAGGAGGGGAGGGGAGGCGGTGGAGAGAGAGAGAGAGAGAGAGAGAGGGGAGAGATGAGAGAGAGAGGAGATGAGAGAGAGAGATGATATGAGTGCTGGGTCAGAGAGATTGAGGAGAGAGGATAAGGATAATTTGGGGATTTTAGCTTAGCTAGCATGTAATAATTGATAAAAAGGGGCTGCAGTACAAAGTGTCACACTTCAAGGAGCTGATCCACATGGGGAAAACTATGAGGGGCCTTGTCACATGAAGTTTCTGCTTTTAGGGCATGGACACATTTTTCCTTTTTTTTTTTAACTTTGTTATGGGTTTTTAATTTCCAAACCCCCATCCTTACATTGTCTCGTGGGACCATTGAAATTACGTTAGCACCCATATTGTCCAAAATAGAATGATAGGCTGATGGTACTGAGAATGTCCCCGACGGTGTAGTTGTCCAGATTAATCTATCTTTGTGCTCCCCTGTGCTTCTTGCTATGCTTAAACTTGTCCTTGTATTACAATGAACTTGCACACAAAGGAAATGAACCATCTGCAGAAAAATCATGCTAAAACATGAGTCTTAATTCTTTGAAGTCTGCAACTTGAGCAATAATAAGAGAAAGAACTTGGATAAGTCATAATTTCAATTATGATAAGTACAATAATGTAATGAATATCCGTAAGGGTACATATTTCAGTCTTTAATGTCGCTTTTAGGAGATTAAGGAGGATATATGTAAAATAACATAAATTTTTGTGACACTTCTCATATGGGTGCTTTTATAGGGACCCGAAAATGAGACAGATAGGGGAAGGACATGTGAGGTGTCCCCTCTTAATTGCATAATGAGCTGGTCATGGCCAGCTCATTATGCAATCAGAGGGGGACACCTCACTTGTCCCCCTCTATCTGTCCCATTTTCGGGTCCGTGAGGCATTTTTGTTCTCATACTTTCCGTCTCCAAAAGATGGAAGGATTTTTAAATGAGGACCCATTCTGTTACTTTTGAGGACTTCACATTCTTAGTTACTTAAAATCTTCTAAAATGCAGTCTTTAACGGAGACAAATGGCTGTGGGAAACTTGTCATTTGGATATTCATTTTGTACGTCAATGAATAAATCACTCATGGAGTTGCACAAAAATGAGTTTTGTTTTCCCCCACATTCCGTCATACTTTGTTAATCTAAGATCTCATTAGTTGAGCATTAATCTATCCGAACCAATTTTACATTCTTTTTAGATTGGTTCGGGTTGTTAAAAAAAAAAGCAAATTGGGTATGATACAGTTGTGTTCCATCTAACAACATTTCAGTTGCAATATGTACAAAGACAAGAGTCCTACTTGTATTATGGTTGTGTTCCATCTAATCAACACCTCAATAGCAGTTTGATCATTTAAAAACCGTTACCAATATTCAATTGTAATCATTTTTTATTACACAACATTACAATCTTTGTTAAGAGAACCTTATTTGCCTATCGAAACTAGTTATCATGATAGCCTTGATACTTGTAAATATAGCATTTACCTTTGATGAAGCCTCTATTAGATTTGGGGTTCATAGATTTCTAAAGGGAAAAAACATTATGAAAGAAAAGCTTAATCAGCCCTCGGAATGACCCGTACATCAAATTGCTGAAAAAATACAACACAATTCCCAAAATCAGGTAAAAATTACCCCCCTCAGCAAACGCTTGAACACCATGCCGAGACAATGTGAATGACAAATGACACCGATGACAGATTTCATCCGCGCTGCAACTAAATATTTTCAATCAATAATGTTATATCCTCAGCATCCCTAACTCAAAGATCTAAATCCACAAATGAGAACACAATAATACATAATATATTCGAATTCACAACTGAAATCCCCACACTAAAAGATCAAAACCACATTTTTAGCTCGTGAACAAATGAAACTTCAGTCGGCAACTACTTCCCTTCATTGCCTGCAGGGCCGACAAGCACACCCTGAGCCGTTCCTTCCTTCTTCCCTCCCTCACCTTCGTTAGCATCATCTTGTCTCCTTATCTTAATCTTGTGCTTCAGCTCAAAATCTGCTATCTCCTTCTTCTTCTTCTCCAACGCTTCGTTTAAGCGAGCAATGACCTCTTCAAGGCCTTCCTTGTTGCGTTGCACTGCAGGCAGGACCCCTTTTATTGTTCGCTCTACAAGCACCCCTCCAATCATGCGGTAGCAGCGCCTTGATGGATCGAGTGGTTCTATTGCTCCGATCACAAGGGTGTGCTCGCTGACTTCCATTTCCAGCTCTGTGATTTTTGAGTAGAGTTGGTTCATCTCGGAGCGCAGAACACCGTACATGTTGGCGATTGCCTGCTCATTTATAGGTCCTTCGCTGCTGGCTATACTTGCCATGGTCCTGGAATCAAATAGAAGTTTTGAGATTATAGGTAATGTGGATTTTAAAAATGCAATAGTAACATTGAATCTTGTAGGGGATCAGGTGAAAACATTATATTAATCCAAGAGAAGTAGGTTTTGACAGGAAAAGACAGCATCAAGTTTTCAATATATCCATCAACTATTCCCAATCATTAATAGAAGAATCTTTACTGTGATAATGTTTAACACAACATTAACTAAACTGTACCTATACACCAGGTCGATTAAATTACATACGAATTTACAACATTCAAAGAGTTCAATCATCTGATCCTTCAGATATACTTTGAAACTGTACCTAAATCCGGTATATAACTGGAACTTCTCTGAAGGCATACACGTTATCTAATTCATTCCAGGTCAGTACACTCCTTAATTTTATTAATGGATTCAGATAAAGACTTTATCTAGATGATCTAGTTGATGATAGAAATGCAAGTTGAGAGTTAGTCTGGGTCAACTAATTGGTCTTCTGGTTTATTCAAGAAACTTGCTGAATATTTTATGGTTCATTTTTTATCTTTTTCGGCACGTATATAACTATTAAGTACAGAACTTAGGTATTGTTGTTTGCTCCTCATACATTTTTTAATCGAGATAGAATATGTGTTTGTTTTCCTTAAACCTTTCACTATAAATATACTTCGAACAGCCTTTTCAATCTCGAATGCCCCCCAATTCCCATTTCGTCTTTAACCATGAGCTCCAAAACCTAAAGCTTTGGTTTCAAATTCAATTTTGTTTCCGGTCACACTGTTCCAGATTTGAGTTTTGTTTCAGTTACAATCTCGAACACCCCCAATTTGCATTACCTCCTTATTCTATTTGGGTGTTTCAGTTACAATCTCAAACACCCCAATTTGCATTACCTCATTCTATTTGGGTGCAGAAAACTCCCCAATTTGTATGTTGCTCGCAATATTCGCAACAATTGCATGTAGTTAGTTCTCCAGTGAGATCCAAAACATTGACAATCCGATTCCAGATTCAATTTTATTTCAGTTTACTCTACAATGCTTCCATTTGTAAATTTAGTACTGGTCAAGTATTGTCGATAGAATATAAGAATTTAGAGTTTATAAGTGGATAAGGGTCTGTTCAGGGGAAAATATTAACCAGACCTCCTGTTCCAACTCAATTAGACCCAATTGCTATGTCCATAAAAAAGCATTGCTGTAATGGTTATAGAACGGTGGCCATTATTATTGGAACTTAATAAATTTTGTCATGAGTGCACAATTATTAGGTCCTGCAGTTTGCTCAGAATCCCCTCTCCAATATGTGTCTTTCAAGCTAGTTGTGAGAAGCCTCTGTACCCATAAATATACCTCTAATAGAATATGTAATCTGAGCAAAGTTTGACTACAGCAATTAGAAATTGAGAAATTCTGAAATCAAGATGAAGGGCTTATGGTACAGGAAGCAGCAATTGATGGTTGGAGGTGGTATAAAAGCTTTAGACCTGTGCCAGTAGACCTAATACATAATTCAGACGAGAAAAAGTATTACGAATAACTAAATCAATACATCTAATATGCTGGTATCCTTGACTGCCAAGGTCAGTGTCACTAATTCATGTACGACGATATCAAGCGAGTTTGTGAAGTTTTAGACTTGGTAACATATCATGTTGTGTTTGATAATTTTGCTCGCCAGGAGGTTGCATGAATCATACACACTCATTTCAAAAGGTTTTTGTTGACACCCGACCATTAACTACTTTTGTTCATGAACATCTCATCTACGGTGATCCTACTGATCTACAAGTATAGCAAAATTTCACTAAAAATTCGCAATATAGGTTTGTTTGGTTAGCATTGTAAAAGGATAAAATTGGTTTCCAAGGATAAAATTGGTTTCCATGCTTACCACATCACCTTTGGAAATATCAAGCCAGAAAAAGTTTACATTTATTATGTTTGATTGATTTGATAATCTATGGAGTTTATGGAGTGTTGCTAGGATCCAAAAAGAGGACAGGTTTTTGGGACAAGTGAGATGGCATCCTGTCCCGTCTCTCATTAATTTTCTTCTTTAATAGGAAGAGTACTTTTGTTAGATAAATATGCCTTTCATCTCTTCTAAATTTAAGATTAGCTAAATCCATCTCACATTAAACTCTTCTAAGCTCGTGTATTGCCGATCCATCCCTCTTATTCGATGATGACTTCTACAGCTCATGTTCATTACAACAGCAAAAAATAATAAATTTCTAAACTATCTTGAGTCATATTAAAATAAAAGATAGTTTGTTAGCAAATATATTATTAATCCATTGAACGAATAATCCCCAAATACTTTTCTTACTAAGATCATTCATTAAAATCACATCTTTAAAATGAAAATTTTGATTATCCTCTAGTTTCAATATAATACCTCAATCCAATCTGTATCCCAAGTTGATCAGGGTGAGAAACATGAGCTAGAAATAGGTATTGTATTGGAAATTCAAGAACTTCAAAAACAATAGCACCGCTCTCAAGGACTGCGAGCATCGAGCCAGAAAAATGAAGTACACTGTGTAATCCCAAAATCGACCATCCTTTTAAAATATGTGGCAGAGAAAAAGAATCAAAACCTACGAATCCTAGCATCATATATTGCTCCGATCCTTGATGGCTCACAAAAATTAGCTCCAGATCCTAAGGTATCCTCTCTGGCGATCCCATATTTGTACGATTTGGAAGTGAATCGGAATGGAGGTAGGAGGTAATCCGGATAGGTTGAGGGTGAGGATTGCTATAGGTATCAATATTTGATTATCACCGCACATAATGATACCATCCTATCCAAAAGAATCGGAACATATACGATAAAATAATTACAAATGAAAGAGTTTTAGTTTTATGATACCAAGAGAAGATAAAGAATTTGAGGGAAGGAAGGACACTGGCTTCATTTTTAAGAAATCCCAAACTACCCTTGGGTAGTGTTTTCATGTGTCTGGCTGCAAAATAAAAGCAATAAATTCAGAAAATGACTATCCACATCAAACATGTCCCATATTTTGGATGCAAAAAAATATTAACCAACATAAAAGAGGCCTTGAACAACCCCGCCGCATCAGTTTTTTCATGAAACCCATTTCAACCTAAACAATCTCTTATGCAAGTTATATACTTTTGAAAAGGAGCAGTAGTCCAAAGAAATTTTTTTGGTATAATCAAATTCATAGAAACCAAATCAATCCATGCGAGCACGAGCCCAATGCTTGTTCATATATGAATATACAAACTCTTAGGCAACATTCTAATATCTAGGTTAGTAGAGAGCTTAACCTGGTTAAAGGGTCAAAATGTTTGGGTAAAACTGAGCTAACTCTAAACTTGGTTTTTTTAGTTCCAATTTGAGCACTTACCTAGGATAGGATTTCACAACTAACCTGGTTAAGGTATTAACCTGGTTTAAGGGGCAAATAGCCAAACACACCCTTAGGGGTATCCTTATTCAATTTTAGTTCTAATTTACATGTGATGTAGAATAGAAAATTGCAATCAAGATAATACTTGCATTTTTTAATGATTTTGTAGCATATTTGAATCTCGGCATCATTATCAATATGATTATCGAATGAAGTATTAGCCTTGATAGTTTCAAATGTATATATATATATATATACTAGTTTTTACACACGTGCAATGCACGTGATTTAATACCATGATTAAGTATTTTTGGCAGTTTGTGCTTATTTTTTTCTTTAAACTCTTACATCCCAATTATTTTTTTATGTTTGTTTAAATGGGATACACCCAATTTAAATTTTCATGTTGATATTTGAATTAACAAAAAACAAATATAATTTAAAAATGATTTAAATTTTCATATTATTTTTGACCGATATGAAACTAAGCTTTATTTGAAAAAGTATATCATTACAAAGTGACAAATATTAAAATAGTGTTATACAAAGAATGTGAATATTTAAAACCAATATGGTAAAATGATTGATTTAAAGTATGTTAAAACGATGCAAAAGAGAATATGAAGTTTATTCCTAATCATTGATAGACTTCATAAAAAAATATAAATTAAAGATTAATGCTAACTCTAGTATACTTTTATATGATAAAAACATCCACATAAGAATATAAAAGTACTGAAAAAAATTCATGAAACTCCCTTCTAAAGATTCCTAATTTCACTCAAAATAATTAAACTATTCTATAAAATATTCAAAAAATATTATTTTTTATTTCTTCTATTTTATTTTTTATTGAGTTAAGATCAATCCTTCTTCAGGTTTATCTTTTATCATTTCTCGGGTAATTCTAGAGTATTATCTTCATCATCTGCATCAATTATGACATCAGACCAATTTTGTATTTTTTATGCTATTATCTTTCCTGGGCTCGTTAATTTTTTATCATCTCATTTTACTTTACAAAGAAGTCAAATGTACTTATGATGTTCAACACAAACTGCTCAAAATATAGACTTTGATTTTTTTTTCTATTTCAATGAGAATAAATATTAATTTCATATATATAAAATTCTTTGTGTTCCTAATTTATTACTTAAATAAATTAGAAGCTATCTCTTTATTTTCCTCTAAAATGAATTCTTCTGATGTGCATCCAATAAAAATTTCTGTTATTTCAATAATATTACCTTTGCTCTATCCCTGTCATTTTCCATAAAGATCTAAACTAAATACCTGCATTATTCATTACCAATTTCTCTTAGATTATAATATTAATATTTAATTTGAAGAACACAGTATGGAATTTATGAATACTTACTAATTTTTCTTATGTCTTCCATGGAGATTTTTTCTTTGATTAGGATAAAGTTATTAAATTATTTTTTAATGTAACTCATTCAGTGCTTCATTAATAGATATGTCTTATGTTAATGCCAATTCAAGTGATTCATTGACGTTTTCTGAATTTTAGATTTATTTCCATCACTTTCCCATTTGCAATGGAAATAACTCAATTCTTTTAAAGTTATCTCTAAATATTCTAATAGTTTCTCCAT